AACCACCGAATTGCACATTTACAGTGGCAAACTGTATAGTGTATAAATTATATCTCAATAAAGCTGTTTAAAAAAACAGGCAAAAATCAATTCAAAAGGCAGAAGAAGAAAAAACAACAACAAAGAATAGATGGGACAAATAAAAACAAATATCAAAAAGACAGACTTAACCATACCAATAATCACATTTAACATAATGTTCAAAACAATTAAAGGCAGACATTGTCAGGCTGGATAAAAAAGTAAGACCCAATTATATGCTGCCTACATGAAATAGATATACCATGGTAACAATAACCCAAAGAAAGCTCGTGTAACTATATTCCTATCAGACAGAGTAGATTTCAGAGCAAAGAATACTACCAGGAATGAAGAGGGCACTTCATAACAGTAAAGAGGTAGATTTATCAAGAAGACACAAAAATCTTAAACACTAATGCACCTAATAACATAGCTCCAAAATACATGAAGCAAAAAACAGAAACGCAAGGAGAAATACACAAAAGTACAATTACAGTCAGAGATTTAATATACCTTTCTTGATAAATGATAGACAGAAAAGTCAGCTAAGATATAAAAGACTTGAAAACACTGTCAACCAACTTGATCTAATTGACATTTATAGAACACTTCATCATAGACAATATTCTGAACCAAAAAACAAGTCTCAATAAATGTAAAAAAATTCAAATCATTAAGGATGTTATATTATTATGATGGAATTAAATAAGAAATTAATAACAGAAAGATATTGGAAAATCTCCAAATATTTGACTTGGGTCAAAGAAAAAATTAAAAAGAAATCAGAATGTATTTTGAACTGACTGAAAATGAAAACACAACCTATAAAAATTTGGTGGATGCAGTTAAAGCAGTACTTGGAGGGAACTTCACAGCAATAAACACTAGCATTAGAAAGGAAGAAAGGTCCTAAATCAATGAGTCATCAGCTCCCACCTTAAGAAACTGGAAAAGAAGAGCAAATGAAACTCAAAGTAAGCAGAAGAAAAGAAAGAATTAAGATCCAGGCAAAAATCAGTGGAAAAAAAAAAAAAATTTTTTTAAATGAAAAAAAAAAAAAAAAAATCAATAAAACCAGAAGTTATTGCTTTGACAAAATCAATAAAATAGATAAAAACTTGTAGTCAGATTAATCAGGAAGAAAAAAAAAGAGCGACAGAGACAAATTACCAATATTAGAAATGAAAGAGGTAGTATCATTATAGATTCTAGATATTAAAAGGATAATAAGGAAATTATTCAACAATATATATAAAATGAACAAATTCCTTGAAAAACACAAACAAAAAAAAATTTACTCAAGAAGAAATATTTAAACTGAATGCTCCTATAACTAATAAAGAAATTAAATTTGTAATTAAAAACCTCCCTATAAAGAAAATTCCAGGCTCAAACATTTTAGAAAGAATACCAGTTTTACAAAAACCCTTCCAGAAAACTAAAAAGGGAGAACTCTTCCCAACTCACTCCATAAATTCAAGACAAAGACACTGTAAGAAAACCTAAACTACATTCCAATATTGCTCACAAATATAGATGTAAAATTCCTTAACAAAATTTCAGCATATCCAATAATATAAAAAGGTTAATACTTTGTGACTAAGAGGAGTTTATCCCAGATATGCAAGGTTGATGTAAAATTTGAAAATCTAACAATGGAATTCAACAAAAAAGGGAAAACCATGATTTCTTCAATAGAGAGATTATGCAAAGGGGTAGCATAATCTGTCTAATGTTTTTAAAAGATCATTCTGGGTCCTATATGGCAAACATCCTATAGGCAAGCCAGTGTAAAAGCAGGAAGATCAGTAAAAGAATACTGCAATTGTTCAGATGAGTGATAGCTGGTGACGCTGACTCAGGTAAGATCATGAGGGTTGTGAAAAATGAGCAGGAGCCTCCTAACAAGGCTTTCTCAATTACCTCCCTTTTAATTTATCCTGCACACTGCTACAAGATTAATCTGCCTAAACCACCACTATAATTACTATTACTATTGGATGTAAGAATTTACATAGGTATGAACCCCAAAAACTATTTCCCTGAGATAATCTTTAAACCTAAAACCAAAAATATCCCCTGAAGTCTTCTTAAAACCAAACAATAGTTAAACTTAACTAGTGAAAAATGGCTGCCTTGAGCATTATGTTCTTTTAAGATCCATCTATATGGGATCAAATTAACAACAACTCGAAAGATTATATAGGAACCTTAGGGGGGAGTAAATTTATGTTAATGGAGGAGGAAAAACTCAGGAGGGTGAGAATGCTGCACAACTCAAGGAATGTCATCAATGTCACTGAATTGTACATGTAGTAACTGTTGAACTCGTATATGTTTTGCTGTATATATTCTCAACAAAAAATAAAATTATTTAAAAAAAGAATTTACATTGGTTTTCCATCACCTCAACCATCTTTCAAGAGTTGAACTACTTTCCCTAAAATGAAGGTATCAATAGGTGTTTGTGTAAGGGAATACATAAGGTGAAACATAAGATCAATGTGGGGAGATTACTAACAATACAGTAGATAAAACAGCCCTCTCCTCATATCCTTTTCTACTGGAGAAGGAGATGGGCTGGCAACTATTCAAACACCCAAATGCCTGACAACTTTAGGGAGTGGAATAATGATGATGATCAAAGGAGAATGAAATCATATATCACATCTACCAAGTGCCAGCCACTGTTTAAAACTCTTCAAAGGTTCCATACTGATGTCAGGATAAAGTCCAAGACCAATATGGTTTATAAGAGGTCTTGATAAATCTAATCTTAATATCTCTCTCCAGTTTTTCCTCTTCTCTCCCAGGCTTCTGCTTTACTAAACCACACCTCTTATACTAAACCACACCTCTTACCATCAGTCCTTTGTGAATGCTCTTCTTTCTGACTAGAATACCATTCCCTCCTCCATTCCTACCTAGCTAATACCTACTCATCCTTGGGATCTCACTCTCATAGAATACTACCCAAAGAACATTTTCTCTAAATCTGGATTAGGAGCTTCCTTCTACATATTTAATTTTTGCTTTCTTCATCTAAGTATTTATCACACTCTATTATAATCATCTGTTTACTTACCTGTATCCTCACCTAAAGTTCACAGAGGTAGAGTCCAAGTCTGTATTATTTCCCAATATATCCCCAAACTTAACATGGTACTTGGTGTAACTGTTGCTCAATAAGCATTTGCTTAATGAACAGGGGATTTAGAAATATATTGATTTAGGGAGAAAAATGGTTAGTTTAGTCTATAACATGTTAAAGTTGAGGGAATGACAAGAGATCCAAGGAGAGATGTTCTGTACACAGCTGGAAAAAGGAAATTGAAATTCGGTTGAGAAGCAAGAGATAAGGATACTGAAAGTATAAGACAAGATGACAAGAGAGATGAAGAAAAACAGGGTCGAGGATTAATAGTGGGGCAATAAAAAGAAAGGAAACTAGTTAAAAAAAAAAAAAGAATCACTGGAAACGTAAGAGAAGCAGAGTAATACGTTAGTATAGAAGTTAAAGAAGACTATTCAAGAACGAAAAAAGGAACATGTATCAAATGCTGAAGTTAATGAAGCTCAAAATAGTCAGCTCCTCCATGAGCCTTAGGGTCCATGTCTATTTTACTCACCTAGGATATACAGTAACAGAGTGTCTAGTGCATGTAGACAACTAATAAATATTTGTTGAATGAGGGAATAAATGACTAGAATCTTATTTTTTAAGAAGTTAACTTGTGGTTTAGAATGAGCCTAAATTTTACCTGCTCAGGAAATCTTGCCAAGACTTTACTTTTAAAATTCAGATAAAACCTCTGCTTGATACTTTGTTTGAATAAATATTATTCTTCTGTCCTTAGTCTTTTAGTGTACCTTGTACATCCTTCATCTTTATCACTTAAACAGGAAGTGTCAGTACAAGGGGGGATGGCGGGAGGGGCAGGCTTGAGAGAAGATGGATAAAAGGACTGTTCGTAACTCAAATTCTAATTAGTGCTGCATATGAGCTGTTCCTCAGTGAAGATCACCTTCATTGGCCTGGAAGCGTCAACTTACAAGTCAAGAAAGAGTTCCATGTAAAAATAACCTATCTCAGGTAGCTTAAGTAGTTAACAGATCAGATTACTCTCACTGGAAAGCCATTAGACAAACCTGAATTCAATCTAAAAGAATAACCAACAGAAGAAATCATTTCCATTATAATTCAAAGTACGTATGAGAAAAAGTCATAAAACAATCTGTGCTACAGATTATAAATCAGAGAAGTTTAATGATGAAAAGAAGGAACTTAAACGAGCACTAGGGCCCAAGGAAATACAGTTGTCTCAGGGTGAGCTACATCTCTGTATATTTGAAGGTAGAAGGAAGATAATAGAGGAGAAACAGTAATAATACTTGAGACAATGGATATGTGTATGTTAAGAAGTAACAGACAGGTGAAAAGTGTGAATTTAGAGATGAGGTATCATAGGGTTGCTATGAGTTGGAATCGACTCAACGGCAACTGGTTTTCAGGATATCACGGATGTGAAGGAAGCGTGATAGATATGTTGAAATGAAGATAAGAGCTAATAAGAGCATTGACACAAGATAGATGCACACCTCAGTAGACCAAGGCACAGTCTTCAGCAATAAACATGAGGGAGATCTGAGAAATTAGGGGCTTTGGAAGAGGGAATGATGTTTAGAACAATTAAGGGAAATATTTCTAGAAGTAAGGCCAAAAGAGGCTGAGAGAGAGAGAATGAATGAATGCTGGTGCCTAGAGATTATATTTTACATGTCAGAATAACTATGACTGGCTGTGCTAACATTCTATGAAACAGACTTTTAAAGTAATGTATTTTCTTTGTTAATTCATGTACCACGAACAGAAGGGGAAAATGAGCCCCCCAGTGAAAAATATTTAACCTAATCAAGATTTAATCTAATCAAGACGGAACAAACAATGAGGCAATCTCACAGCCAGCCAAACAGCTCACCTGGTCATAGCCATAAGGCCTCTGTTGGGGTGGCTGTGGTGGTCCAGGCTGTGGTGGTCTGTACCCTCCATACTGCTGACCTTGTCCCTGTGGGTAGTTGGGATACTGAGGACCTGGACCACCCTGTGAGGGACCTGCAAAATAACCAACACAAACAAAAGTCCAGATAAAATATAACAAGTCCCTAGAACTCTAGAAAGGGTTGAGAACTAGATGTTACTGTATTTTTATGTCTAAATTTAAAAGACAGCTTGGTACCTTGATTTTCTCAATGCTTTTTGGAATAAATGTCATGGTTGTAAGAAAAATGAAAACGTTGTAATGCCACTACCACATACCAGATACTCTGATATTTAGTATAACTATTGTGCTATCACTTAGCCACTAAAAATGTATATGTCAAGATAGTACAAGACTCAAGAGTTGTCAGTTAACTCCATGATAATAAGAAAATTCATCTACACCTCTATTGGAGAGTTAACCAGTATAAACAAGAGGCAAAACAAAAGGCAATAAGTAGGTCCAAGTGAAAATACTGAAGTAATTTCTGAGAAGTTTGAGTGTCAGTGAAATTTACATTTGCAATCACCAAAAGAATCACATGGTGATGTTCTGTAATGGCAAACTTATTATAATTTTAAAATAGAAACTAAAGGAACCTTGAAAAACCAACACACGCATGGGAAAAAAACTTAGTTTGAAAGTTACACTCTAAGTACCAATAGTCTTTAATACTTTACCATAAAAATGAATGACTTCAAATTCCAGAGATGGCAAGGGACAGATTTGGTTTTCCAAAGATATGTTGTTTACTAAACTCTACTATAATTTATAATAAAAAATGCTTTAGAAAGCATAGCCTGGAAAGCTTTAACACTTATATTCAAATCCAGACACAAAAACATTGATCCCAAAAGAAATGATCAAAAGAGGATGATACATTTTCAACCTTAAATAAATTCCATCAGTCTAATTGTTAAAACTCTACATTTCCTATTAGGAGGAGGTCAATAAGCTGAAATCTATGGAGAAGCAAAATGGGAACTTCTCTCCTTTAGGATTCCTGACTTTTTACAAAACAGCATTAAATCACTCAAACCAAAAATATTACTTCTTTTACCCTTTCTTCCCACTGAAAATAATATTTCTCTTAAGTCAATGAATTTAACCTGATTTGGGCACACATTTATTTTCAAGCAAATGCATACAACGAGAACATTCTATTTATTCAAAGTATAAATGCTACATAGCATGAAACGGAAATGATATCTGACAAGACTGAATGCCAAGCAGGTTTGAGAATTCATGTTTTTGTCTTCTAAATAACTATACACCTTACCTTTGGTCAATGAATCATCTTTAGTTTATGGTTCTTTTTACTATTTATCTAAGAGCAACACTTTTAATAAACACTCTCATAATAAGCAGACTGAGGTAAAATTGTGAACTTTCAGAAGTGATAATCCTTAGAAAAATAAATATTAAATATCTATTTCCATATTTCAAAACAGTAATTATCACATTTTTTGTGACAAATAAACTGCAATGATCTACCTACCGTAGCCTTGCTGCTGTCCTGGATAGCCCTGCTGCCCTGGGTACTGCTGCTGCTGGGGCGGATATCCCTGTTGTGGAGGTGGTCCTTGGTAAGCATCCTGCTGTTGGCCATACTGTGAATTTCCTACAGGGTAATTGGAGAAGAGGAAGGAAAACCTGAGAAATTTGCTTAGTTAACTTTTTTCTTCTAAAATGCATAGGCAACAACACAAGAACAAAATGAAATGCCATTCTGATTTTTAAAAGTTAACAAAACAAAGGAAAAACTCAAACCAAACAGAAGGATTTCGGCCAAACAAACTGCAGTTAAAGCCAGTTTTGCAAGGCTGAACTGCAGCATTTTCAGCGTCTCTGCCATACGAGCATTACATTTACTGGAACATCACAGTCATAAGATCATGACTATGCTAAATAAAATAAAAAAGACAAAATTAAAGACAGCTACAAGAGCACACACTAGCTACACAAGATCAGCAAGCTGTTTCCTAAAGGCACTATGCTTATATGTAAAATTATATATATGTAAACACACACGAGAAAAAAAATTAGATTGATGGATTTATGTTCAAATAGAAATTTCCACCGAGAAAAATTATTTTTAAATGTTTTAGTCTTTTCACTATTGTTAGAAATGACAAGTCATGGTTATACATTTTAAATATTTGTAAGGAAATTATTTTGATTGTTTTGGGCTCCCTATAATTTTCAAGACAGCCAGCAGCTAGTATTCTACAAGAAGCTTTGCATAGGTAGAAGTTGTCTTATGCAAGAATTTTCGTTCCTGTAGAAGGGGATATGTGTGTGTATATGTGTGAAGGTATATAGATACCTCCTTCGTAGTAATGTTGTGAGGAATCCTCATAAGGCCTATCGTAGCCTTGTTCAGGATACGACGGTTGCTGATAACCGTAATCATTATGACCTACATCAATTCGACAAGAGACAGGAAGAAACGTTAATGGCCACTGAGTGAAACCCTAAAAATATTTAAACTTTCAGATAAAATTGAAAAAAAGAAAATGAACTGGAAATACATAAAAAATAATTTCAATTGCATTAGCCAAATATTTACCATGTGATTGTTTTCATATTGCATTAACGTGCAATTTTTTTTAAAGCACAAAGCAGTAGTAGTTTTAGATACATCACACTTATTGTCTTAGCTATGATAATCCTCACTGAAGGGAAAAAAAACTTTATTTTCCATTTTTCAAAAAGAAGAGAATGAAAGCATTTAGGCCTTTCACATGTAAATAACTTGAATTAAATTAGAATGAACAAAAGAAGCAATTATCATATTTTGTCAAACACCTGTTCTGCTGATCGCCAATTCTACAGCATATGCTAAAAACAATGAAAAATATAAAAGAGCTCCATAAGTTTTTTCCCCTGAAAGAAACTGAAACACATTTTTCACATTCTATTTACCTGCATAAAGTATATGTATCTCAAAGTATTTTCAGATACGAAAATTATTTTTTAATGTTGTCATTTTATGTCTTATAAATATTTCTAAAGTAGCATAAGCATACACCTTTATAAAATTAATACTGTTTTATGTGCTAGAGTACACTTTTAGCGTGGTAGCTCCAACACATAAGAAAAACCCCACCTACATGTTGTTTCAAGACACAATAAATTTCACCTGCAAGATGTCTGGAATCTAATGAAAAATAGTATTTTCATCTTTTTAATTAAGTTTCACAAAGAAAATGCACGAAATAACCTTTCAATTAATTAGAATCTGAATGAACTAAATTTTAGAAAAATGTCTAATTAAGGAAGGAGGAAAACTTGCTGCCATCGAGTCAATTTCAACTCATGGCAACCCCATTAGGAATACAGTTATAAATAGATCTTATACTCAGTACTCTAGTACACCTACTCCTCACTTATCGACTAACTCGTCATCCAATATCTCGCATTTACAATAGTAAAAAATCTATTTTGCACATTAACGATGTATACTTGGCAGTAACAAACGCCAAGGTGCAAGGCAAGAGTAATGCTGGCTTTGATGGTTAAGTTATGTGTCAACTTGGTTGGCCATGATTCTCAGTGGTTTGGCAGTTATGTAATGATGTAATTTGGCAATTATGTAATGATGTAACTTGGCAGTTATGTAATGATGTAGTCATCCTCCACTTTGTGATCTGATGTGGTCATCCTCCATTTTCACATAACAACAATTTCGCATAACGGCCTGATCTTTGGAACCTAACCATGTCGATAAGTGGGAAGAGGGTGTATTCGAACATTCCCAAACCAACTCATAAATATCTACATCAAGGGTTGGCAAACTACAGCCAGCAGGCTAAATATGGCCAGCATCCTATTTTTATAAATAAAGTTTCATTGGAATACAGTAATTCCCCCTTATCCACTCACTGGAGATTGTTCCAAGATCCCCAGTGGATGCCTGAAACCATGGATAGTACCGAATCCTATCTTAGCAACCTCAGCATATGATGTTTTTCTCTTTATTAAGTAAAGAACTTTTACCTTTTCACTTAAAGGAAGCACTTTGCAGCTTCTCTTTGGCATATTTGAATTGGCCAGCATCACGATTCTTACACTTTAGGGCCATTATTAAGTAAAACAAGGGTTACTTGAACACAAGCACTGTGATACTGTGACAGCTGATTTGACTAACTGGCAGGTAGCGTATACAGTGTGGATACGCTGGACAAAGGGATGATTCATATCTCAGGCAGGACAGGAGTGGGACAGTGTGAGATTTCATCATGCTACTCAGAATGGTGTGCAATGTAAAACTTAAGAATTGTTTATTTACGGAATTTTCCATTTGATATTTTCAGACTGCAGTTGACTGCAGGTAACTGAAATCGCAGAGAGCAAAACCTCAGATAAGGGGGGACTACTGTACAGTCATGCCCATTCATTTACCTATTGTCTATAGCTGCTTTCTGCTACAACAGTAGAGTTCAGTAGTTAAGACCAAGAACATATGGCCAGCAAAGACTAAAATATTATCTGGCTCTTCACAGAGAAAGTCTGCTGACTTCTAAACTATATATTTACTGGCATAAATAACTAGACATAATGAGAAAAAATATCTAATGCCATTTAAGAAAATTATTTGTTGATATAAATGCAATAAAAACTCTACAGAAATATCAGGACCATGTATTAATACACACCTATGCAAAAAGATACCATTTAAATAATAATCCTTGATTATAATGAAATAAAATTAATTACTTATAGTAACCTTAAAGTTTTGATAGTTGGAAAAATAATATATCTATTTTTAACAGAAAAGTTATATTTATAACAATACAAGTTTCACATTTCAGGAAGGAGGACTAAAATAACAATGTCATGCTTAACTCAATTACTTAAAATGTATTTTTTAAATTAAACAATTATTTAGTTTTCAGATGACTTCCTAATGCATATAATTTAACAAAGTAGATTTTATCTTTTTTATAAACTTAATGTAAGTTTTTAATTAAAAAAAATCTTAATAGCATGTCTACGTGGGAAAGGAAAACGAAAAAAAAAACAATCTGAATAATTCAGTGCAAGAAAATCTGTGGTAAAAAATGCATCATTTTCTAACCAGAATTATCCTTATGTATCATCACTATGATTAATAAGCATTTATTGAGTGCAAAAGACAATGATTTCTACAGGTAAGTGTCTGTTCTGCCTGTACAGTCAGAACCTCTGCAGTAAAAACTAATACTCTTAAGTACTGATATACTTTTATTCTTTATGCTTTTATAAAAAATGGCAGGCAAAATGATTTTTTAAATACACCAACTTATATCTTTCTGACTTACATTAGCGTCTAGTCAATGGCTCCCAACACTGTAGCTTTAAGTTTCTTAGTTTCCCAAGTTTCTCTGTTAATACACCAAGGGAGCTTACCATATAAGTAAAGCTTTCGGCAAATGCTTTCACAGTAACGTTGAGTCATTTTGTAACATGAATAATCGCCTCTTAACTTACTGGTTTTATATGTTTGAATAATTTTTTGTTCAACATTTTAAAATTTTCAAAATTATAAAAAATGGAAAGAATTGTACAGTGAGAATCTATATGTATGCTTAGATTATTACTGTTCAGATTTTCTTAAAGTGCAGTAGGCTTTTCACAAGCCACCTTCCCACTAAAAACTTTTTTAAAAACTGAATAATATTAAAATCTACTTTCTAAATGTCTTTCCTAGCCTAACAAATCTATAAAAGCTATATTATGAATATAATTTAGCTTCCAAATTTGTTTCTGAAATGGTTAATATATATAAACCATTGTTCTTTGAGAAGTATACAACACAACACAAACTTAGAAAAATACCCAAGAATTATATTCTCTATGTATTTAATACAATGCATAAATGTAAACCAACAGGTGAACTTCATGGTATGTGAACAATTTCCCAATAAAGCTGTTTTTAAAAAAAGAGTAAATCAATGATACTTGCTTTGGTTGAAATTAGCAATTCTGAATTAAAACGGGCCCTCTTTTATATAAGAAAGGATTCCAATGACACAATGTGATTCCTGATGGTACTAATATGGAATAGCTACACAAAATACATTCTAAACTAGTTTATAAACTAATGCTTTAGATTACTTAAAGTGTTCCTAAATTTAGAAGAAACAGATTGTTAGTTTCTTCACCCCCATTAAAATGTTTTGAATAGCTATCTCCATTAATATTGGGCAGGGATAGAAAATGGGAAAGTTAACATTAGGAGAGATTACCATCAGGGTAATATTGCTGGTTCATGCCTTCTGGAGGACCTTGTCCACCATGACTGTATTGGTCCCCATAATAGTCTTCCTGGCCTGAGTACTGCTGTGGTGGGCCTGAAAAACCACAACCAGTCAAGATGTAAATAATTTGTTCTCTATGTCATCAAAGGCTTGCTTTCTAATCTGATGTTATGAAAGATTATTTCTCAGCTGTAGATTCCCCTCCCATTCCCTGGCATTTCAGATACTTTTAACTATTTTTATACACACTCATACATACACACGTAGCTCCACACACCACATTTCACTAAAATTAATGTGAAGACCATACATGCAATATCAAACAGTACCAACTCAGAAAAACAAACAGTAAATTCTTAAAAAGAAATTCAAACTGGCAGAAAATTAATTTCCTTTTAGTTTATTTTTATATTAGAGCACTATGAAATAAAATTGGGTTTGTTCATGACCATATATTTAGTAACTTCTCAAAAACAAAGCAGTACCTTCTGCTATAAACCGGTAAGCTTTTGATATAAAATTTTTATGATGTAACTTTTCCCCACAAAAGGACAGATAAATCTATATAACTGGAAGTTCCTAACCACTACAAGACCCTTTGCACCTACTATATTTACTACCTTTGGGGGCTGGGGGGAGGTGGGGGAGAAAAAAAAAGTCAAGGAAAAAAGCCTCAACTTTGCCTAATTGTGTTTAAAAACCAAAAGTTTATTTTATTAAAATTTAAAGCCTTTCAAGTTCTCTTATTTACATTAAGCAGCAAATTCTCAAAATGGAATCTTACCCTGTTGAGGTGGTCTATAAGGAGGGATCTGTCTCTGACCCATCATATGATTGCCTTGATTAACTTGACCCATCATTCCCATAGGTGGCTGCTGTCCTTGGTAATGCTGCCCACCTCCCTGTGGCATATTATATTGTTGAGAAGGAGGCTGTTGATGCATGATTGGACCTGAAAACAGACACAACATTACAAATACAACATTTTTGTGCATATGATTTTAACAAATTAAGAGAAATGGAAGATATTTTATCACATAATCCAAAAAAAAACACAATTAAATGCAAAAAAATTAAGGAAGTTTTAAATCTCACATGGATAAAATAATCTGCAAACAAAAAACAAAGCGACTAATCGATGGTAGGTGATTTGAATACCACTGGAAGAGTATTCTTGTCAGTTTTTAAAAATCAACAGACACAATATAGGAACATCCTGAATGCATTCCATTATGCTTTATGTAATACTTATACCTAAAAATCTTTCCAGAAAAGATATAATCCTTATGCTATACACCAAAACAAAGTGAATTTAACAAAACACACAGTAAAATGAGTAGTCAAACCAAGGAAAAGAAAACATATTTCTAGATTTTCATTATCAATCCCTTTTCCAAGTCCACTCATTACATAATGGTAGATACGGAAACCATACAAACTTTCACAAATATGCCTATATCAACAGAATTTCATAAACTTTAACTTTAGGGCAAAATTTTAAAGGGTCTTCTTTCCCTTCTACAACTATAAAATTTAAAAACTGAAAAGGTTTTCTTGAAATCGAAAAGCTGAAGTACTTTTTAATAAGCCACTCTCTCTCTCCCTCTCTCTCTCTCACACACACACACATCAAAAACACCTTAATAAAAACCATAGGCTCAGAAATCAGTACTGTGCATTTTCCAAAATGAACGATACTGGAGTAGCGAAACTACCATTGCTATAGTATCACAATGACAACAAAAATGTATCACATGAAGTAATCAACAATGGCCATAAATTTCCAAGTTGCCATCTAACAAGGTAAGCTGCTCCTCAGTCATTCACTGGGCCAAGTAACTATGTGTGGAGCTCAACATTCTGCCATTAAAACCATCACTGTCTCAGAAGTATGCATGAGTCATCTCCCAGTTTACTGCTAAGATAGCTACATTGTTGTTGTTAGGTGCCCTCAAGTCGTTTCTGACTCACAGTGACCCTGTGTGCAACAACTACATACTTCCCCTTTACTGACTTGGGGACAATTTAAGAAAAAGCACAAAGAGCAAGGACTAGAAACACTGGAAAAGTTTTACAGGCAAAATCACCCAGATGAGCCAAAATGTTATTTAAACAAACAATTGAAAAAACAAAACCCCACCTCTTTATCACTGACCTACAACAACACAACAACGAAAGAAGAAAGACTTCACCTCATTTCCAACTTGAAGAACTGCTTTATCTAAGTTCTTTTTCTTCCTATTGACCTTCTTCTGTTCTTTTTTTCTTTACATATTCCTTTTTACTTCTCCCTAATTTTATTATCATAAATAAAAGCTTTTCAAAGATTTTTTTCTGGGACTTTTCTTACAAGGTAATAAACTATTAATAGTAGAGATAAGGTGGCTCAGTGGAGAGTGGAAGAGAACATATCTACACTGCCAGACTCAGGTATTTATTTCATATAAATCGCTAACAAGTGCCAGAGATAAGTACCCTTATTTTTAAGTTCTCAGGTGAGGAAACCAAGGGTCAAGATCATAAAGCTAACATATGTTAATTGTGAATCAAACAAAACTCCACAAGATTGATTTTAAAACACATCTATTCTCCTATTCTTCACTGCCTCTACCCAAAAATAAGCTGTAACCAAATGGGCAAACGACTTGAATAGACATTTCACCAAAGAGGACATTGAAATGGCCACCAAACACTTGAAAAAATGCTCAGCGTCATCAGTCATCAGAGAGATGCAAATCAAGACCACAGTGAAATACCATTTCACTCTCACTAGGATGGCAAAGAATAAAAAAAAAAAAAACCTGAAAATAACAAATGTTGGCAAGGGTGTAGAGAAACTGGAACCCTTATGCATTGCTGATGGGGATGCGAAACGGTACACCATGGTGGAAAACAGTGTGGCGATTCCTCAAAAAACTAAAAATAGAACTACCATATGACCCAGCAATTCTACTCTTAGGTATATACCCAAAAGACTTGAAAGCAGAGATTCAAACAGAGACTTGTACACCAATGTTCAATGCAGCACTATTCACAATAGCCAACAGGTGGAAACAACCTAAATGACCATCAATAGATGAATGGATAAACAAAATAAGGTACACACATACAATGGAATACTACTTAGCCAGTAGGAGAAATGATGTCTTCATACATGTTACAATATGCATGCAGTGAAATTACGCTCAGTAAAGTAAGTTAATCACAAGAGGACAAATATTCTATGAACTCACTTACATAAAAAGACAAGAAAAGGCAAATGTATAGAAAACAAAATTTATTTGTGGTTTCCAGGGGCAGGAGGGAGGTGGGAAGGGGGGCGCTAACAGTGATGAAAATATCGCACTGATTTAAGGGTAGGGCCGCACATTTGATTATTGGAATTGCCGTCAATAAGTGTACGCCTGTAAATAAAAAGTTGAATTGGGAAAAGTTGTGTGATAGATGTATTTAGAACAATGACCAAAAAACAAACAAAAAAAAAAGAGTAGCTGCTTAAACTGCTCGTGTACAACCAAACACCTTATGAGATTAGGTTTCTTGGTTTGGAGGTTTAGAGTCATGGTTTCATGGGACATTACAGTTAATTGGTCTAATAACATGTTCAGTTCTACCTCCTACTTCATTATGTGTCTCATAAGCTTGCAAGAGGCCATCTAAGGCACAACAACTGGTCTATAGTTACGTGCAGCACCAGAGAAAAGAGAATCAGAAACAGAAAGAGGATACAGAATGTGTGGCGATTACCTCTATGAACAACTGTCTCCTCTGCCATGAGACCAGAAGAACTGGATGGTGCCAGGCTACCATTACTGAACACTTTGATTAAACATTCTGCAGAAGAACCTGATCAAAAGGGGGAACACGCAGTACAGAATTTCAAATTCTTATGGACTCCAGACTTTCTGAAGCCATGAAGGTTAGATGAACCCCTGAAACTACTGGCCTGAAATCATCTTTAAACATTAAACCAAAAATATTCCCTGAAGTCTTCTAAAAATCAAACAATCCTTTAGCTTAACTATTAAAAAATGTCTGCCTTAATCCCAGCCAGAGCAATTAGGCTAGAAAAAGAAATAAAGGGCATCCAAATTGTGAGGGAGAAGTCAAAGTATATCTCTCTTTGCAGATGATATGATCTTATAAACAGAAAACCCCAAAGAATGCACAAGAAAACTACTGGAACAAATAGAAGACTTAAGCAAAGTTTCAGGATACAAGATAAACATAACAAAAAATCAGTTGGGTTCCTTTACACCAACAAAGAGAACCTCAAACGGGAAATCACCAAATCAATACCATTTACAACACCCCTCAAGAAGATAAAATACTTAGGAATAAATCTAACCAGAGACGTAAAAGACCTACACAACAAAAACTGTAAGACACTACTGCAAGAAACCAAGACAGACCTGTGAAAGTGGAAAAACATACCTTGCTCACGGATAGGTAGACTCAACCTTGTGAAAATGTCAGTTCTACCCAAAGTGATCTACAGATACACTGCAATCCCAATCCAAATTCCATTGGCATTTTTTAATGAGATGGAAAAACAAATCACCAACTTCATATGGAAAAGATAGAGGCCCCAGATAAGTAAAGCATTACTCAAGAAGAACAAAGTGGGAGACCTCACACCACCTGATTTTAGAACCTATTATGCCGCCACAGTAGTCAAAACAGCCTGGTAGTGGTACAACAACACATACATAGACCAAAGGAACAGAATTGAGAATCCAGACATAAATTCATCCGCCTATGAGCAGCTGATATTTGACAAAGGCCCAAAATCCATTAACTGGGGAAAAGACAGTCTCTTTAACAAATGGTGCTGGCATAACCGGCTATCCATTTGCAAAGAACTGAAACAAGACCCATAGCTGACACCATGCACAAAAACTAACTCAAAATAGATCAAATACCTAAATATAAAATCAAAAACGATAAAGATCTTGGAAGAAAAAATAGGGACAATGTTAGGAGCCCTAATACATGGCATAAACACAATAGGAATCATATGTAACAATACACACACACCAGAAGAGAGACTAGATAGCTGGGAGCTCCTAAAAATCAAACACTTATGCTCATCAAAAGACTTTACACAAAATTCATTGTAATCACAAAGAAAGTTAACAAACATACTCATAAAAAAAGAGGAAAAACAAAGTCTCAGCAAAAACAGACCATACAAAAACAAAAGAAATGAAAAAAACATCCACAAACAAAAGAACAAAGAAAATTTTGGCACCAGAAAAAAAAACTACAAAATGACAGCAACAAACTCACATCTATCAATAATTACACTGAATGTAAATGGAGTCCATGCACCCATAAAGAGATGGAGAGTGACAGAATGGATAAGAAAA